TTTCATTTTCACTGCTTTTCTACTACAACAGAACGAATGCTATTATTGTGGAAAAAAATAAAAATAGTGTCTATAACTATCAAAGATACCAGAGAGTGGTGAAGCATAATCTTAAGCTGAAAGTTCAAATTTCCTTAATATTGTATTAATATGTAAGTTATATTCTACATTAGAAGCATATCAAAAGTAGCAAATTAGAAAGAGGGACAGTGGTGGTGCCAGTAGCAAGCATAATGATAGCAAATAGCAGCGAAAGTTGGAGTATTTATAGTGTTCCAGGTGGGAGAGTTGTATGTTAGGAACATCACTAGATTTTGGAATCTGGAAATCTGGGTTCAGTTTCTAGTTCTAAGTCACTTAATTACTAAGCCTCAGTTTTTCTCTCTAAAATAGGAACAGCCACTGAACTACCTGCCTTAGTGTTGTTGTGAGGATTAGCTTTGGGAACTTTGAAATGTGACATAAACATGAGGTCCACATAATCCAATTTAGATCCCCATAGAAGCATGGTGCTGCCCCCTGGAAGTTTTACAGTAACATTAATAATACAAATAATGAATAGACTCTAATACTATGATGATAAACGATTTCACCAACATGGCTGCTCCTTCCATCAGTATTCCATACTTTAGTAGACAGTCTTAATGAGTTGCCATGGCCTACCTTCTGGTGATGCAGTTCTCATCTCTCAGCAAAGCTGGTTCTCAAACAAAAAATAAAACAACAGATTTCTGGACCCTTACTCAAAGCATTTCCAGCCTGGTAGGATACTTCAGAGCTGGCACAGCCTATGAGAGCCTATGGTCAGCTCATGTCACAGTGAAGCATCAGAGGAAGACTTTAGCAAAGGTGCAATTTAAAGGGGTTTTTTGTTTGTTTTGTTTTTGAAAAGGTGTCTCTTAAAAAGTGAAAAGAACAAAGAGGTCTGGATAAGGAAAGAAACCCCTTTTCCATTCCTAGCTCTTTCATTAACTGGCTGTATGAATTTTGACAAGCTGCTTTACATCTGAATCTATAAAATAGAGAATATTTGCACAAGTGACCCCAGAGGAGGAAAACATTTTGTCAGCCGTAAGATGGGAAAGAAATGAGCTGCTGAATTGTTGTTAAAGTCAGTTCCTACTCTGACATTAGCTATTTCTAGTTTCTTCCTTTCATAGACTGCCCCTCCTTTATTTATTAGAGAAACCTAAAAAGGCAGCAATTATTGTCATAGCAAACATAAAATTATCCTTCTCACACCTAAATATTACGCCCTCTTTGAACCTTCCATTAACTGTATCTCTAGCTTTAATATAGATTTTAAGAGGTGCCTTTTTAAAAAATATTCATTCATTTAGTGAATAAATGTTTTAAATGAACTAATTTCTCTTGTTTTCCAACTATCCATTGATTGACTGTTCACTGCAAAACTTCCAGGGGACAGTTGACTATTTAAAATTCTTTTCAAAAATTGTTTGCCAGGCATTTTCTTAAATAATTTTCTGAACAGACGATGTAATATGTTTAGTTTCAGAATTTTAAAAGCTGGAAATAGGTAGCTTCATCTGATTATAGAATCACAGATATTAAAGGAAGAATCTTAGAGGTCATCTAATACAAGTGGTTCATTTAATCCACAGGTGAGGAAACTGATATTGAGATTCACTCTTGGTTTTCTTTGGGGGACAAGCTTTTCTCCCAGGATTTTGAAGCATCATGTAGGATTTCATTATCACTACAAGTGATTATTTAGTTAGGGGTGGCAAATAGCCAAAGAGGCTTGGAATTGGACAAGACTTTTAAAGTCAACTGGCCCAACCTCCTAGCTGATAAAAGAGATTTCTTGAATATATCCTGTGTCAGGGAACTCACTACCTTAGAAGATAGTCCATGCTACTTATGGACAGCTTTAATTGTTTAGAAAGCTCTTCCTTTTACTTCAATGGATGTACTGTCATCAATGTTGGCTCCTCTATTGGTACAGAGTGAAGTCAATCCATGCTGAAAGACTTCCTCCGTTCCTTTTTCTGCATTTTGTGGGTAGCCAGTGGAGTACTCAGGCTATTAGCTTCCACCCCATGACCAGCCCGCTTTTTTCAATCACACATTTAAATCAATTTTCAACCAATAAATATTTATTAAGCATCTACTATATGCCAGGCACGGTGCTGCATGTTGGGAATACAAAGACAGAAAGTTGGATAGTTCTTGTACTCATGATGCTTACATTCTATTGGGGAACATAAACTTATAAATAAAATAAATACAGGGTAATTTTATGATTAGCAGCCAGGGAACTGGGAAAGGCCTAGTGTAGGAGATGGAATTTAAGCTAAGCTTCTAAGGAAAGGAAGAATTCTCTGAGTCAAGTAAGAAGGGAGTGTATTCCAGGCACGTGAGATGACAAGTCCTGGATCAAAAGAATTTCAATAAAAATTATAATAGTAAGATTTCATAATAATTTCTATAACACATGGATGATACAAAGCCATCTACAAACTACTCACTCCTACCGCCTCACTTGATCTACTACACCCACTAATTATTCTCACTTAACTTTTCTTGGTCTTCGCTAATAGCTAGCATTTATATATTGCCAAATGCGACACAAATATATTATTTTGTCCTCACAACAACCCTGTGGTACAGGTGCTGTATTATCCCCATTTTACGGATGAAGAAATTGAAACAGACTTTCAATTAATTAACTTTCCCAGGGTCACACTGCTATTAACTGTCTGAAACAGGATTTGAACTCAGGTCTCCTTGACTATTATAGCGGATAGTGCTCTATCCACTTCTTGGACTAAGTTTACCAAGCCTTGAAGGCAGGGATTGTTTTTGTCTTTCTTTGTATCTCTAGGGCTTTGTACCTTATGTAGCAGGCCCTTAAGTCAACAAGCATTTATTAAGTGCCTAATACGTACCAAGCCTAGCTTAATAAATTCGTGTTGACTTGACTTGCTTTATCCATAAAATAAGCCCATTTACTTAGTGAGGGGGTCTTAACCTATAGTCCACAGCCTCCATGGGTTCAGGGAAAGATTTTATGAGCTCCTAAACTTGGATGGGCAAAAAAATTACAACTTTATTTTCACTATCCTCTAAATGAAACTTATCATTTCCTTCAATTACTTAAAGACATTATTCAGAGAAGGGGTTTATGGGCTTCCTCAGACTGCCAAAAAAAGGAGAAAGGGGGCTGAAGAACCCTTGACTTTAGATGTGACATCCCTTCTAACACTAAAATTAAATTATCTGTGATGGCAGCGTACATTAAAAGATGAGGGAGGGCATGGTCCAGGGGGGAAAAAAGCCTGTAGGAAAGGTGGGGGTGGGGGAGGGTGTTAAAGGGACAACTGGATTACAGTGGTAGAGATGACCCACATTTGGGTTCCTTGAAGGCATGGACTGAAGTCGATCGCTAGGCGTGGGTGTCCCGGCTCATAAATTGAGAGCCCAGAGTGTCACTAGCCATCCACCTGGGCTCGCTTGAAGGGTCCTTCCTCTCAGCCTCTTGGAAGATTTCCCTCAAAAGTACCCCCCCCAGCTCCGCTTTCAAACCTCCCCATTTAAGCCGTCACCACCACCAACCTACACCCCTTAACGCTACCTATAAAATGTCCCTTCTCAATCCACCAGGTCTCCCTCTCCTCTGGTTCTCAACAATCCCACCTCCCACCTTTAATCTCTCTCAAGCTGATGGCGGGGCTCCTTCCGCAACGCCTTTCCTAAGAGGTTTTGGACAGAGCTAGCTTTCCCATCCCTGAGACTGACACTGACTGCAGCCAGCTTGGACTTGGCGGCTGGAGGCAGGGAAGAGAGAGAGCTGAGCCTCCTATTTCTCACCCGGAAAGCCGGCACCCTCTACATCCCCACCCCCAGGACCCCAAAGTTCCATGCCTCGGTCTGGGCGCCTGGAATAATCCGCCGCCAGCCAAAGCTCCCGGGTGCCTATTATTAGTCCGAGGAGGGGAGCTCGGCCCGGGTGACTGGAGAACCCTGCAGTAGCAGCCAGCAGCTGCAGCTACAGCAGCAAGAGACCGGTGCTGCAAGATGATAGGGCTTCTTTCCAAAGCCAGACCGACACAGAGGGAAACGGTGCGAGCCTCAGTTGTTTTCTGGACTGGAAAGGGACCTGCATTATAACGTGACGGAACCGCAAAGAGGGACCGGCTGAGAAAGGATATTGACTTTAGGATGGCTGGGAGACAAGAAGGAAGGAGGAAAGGGTGAGGGGCAACAGAGAGCTTGGATGCAAAAGAAGCCGAAGTGGTGACTGTCAGCAAAGCTGTTGAACCCAAGACATCTGCTGACGAACCCCAGAATCCCAGCAGTGCGACCCTGGGTAGGTCATTCTCCCTTCTGAGCCTCTTTCCCCCATTGCAATGAGAACAGCAATACCTTTACACCCTACCTCTCAGGGTCCTTTTTAAGAATACCCTTTATAAACGAGAAAGCAATGTCCTATCATCATCAATGAGATGTGGCACAGAGCTGTTGCCCGCACCCCCCCTTCCTGGGCTTCAGAAAATCTCGTTTGAAGAACTAGGGTGGGGTCACCAGAAAACTACTGCAGCTTTTCCTCCACTCTCCAGGCTCAGAAACACAAGAGACGCAGGGTTCCAGGCCCAAGCGGTGGCCTGAAATATCCTCAAAATACCTTACTCTCTCATTTTAAGATCTCAGGATTTTAGGATGGGAAGGGGAGGGGAAGCATGGTGATGGAAATCCTTAAAAATCAGAATGTCAGACCTTCCCGGGAGCACGGAATCTCAGCGAGCTTGAGGAGACTTCTGAGATCATCTAGTCCAACCTTTCGTTGTACAGATAGGGAAACTGAGGTCCAGGAAAGAAAAATGACTTACCCACTCACACAGCGACTAGGAGGATTCCTCCCCCCAAGTGGCTGAACAGGATGAAGCCCCTCCTAGCTGGCCAGCCCCTTCTCCTTTGCCCTCCCCTTCTCTGCCGGCGGGCTCAGACCCCAAGTGCCGGGAGGCGCGAGCTGCACTTACCTGCGCTCATCTTCGCTGAAGGCGCCTGCGGTTAGCGGGTCCAGCTTTTTCCTGCAGCCTCCTCTGGCCGGCTTCCCCAGGGTCGAAGTGGATGCACAGGGCGCCGGTCCTCGCCGCTGCTGCCGCCGCTGGCTCAGACTGGGATGGCTCCACTTCCCCACCCTCTCCTACCTGTTACGCATCAAAAAGTCCCACGAGCAGCAGCAGCAGCAGCAGCAGCAGCCGCAGCACAAGCAGCTGCAGCAACAGCGGCAGCAGCAAGCGGCCGCGATCTCTCAGCCAGTGAGCAGGGAGCGCAGCCACATCCCTCCCTTCCCCGCCCGGGATCTGGTTATAAGCGGTGGTCCACGCCCCCTCCCTCCCTGCTGACACCGCCCTGTAGTTCCCGGGGTCAGTAGCACCGCATTCCCTCCGGCCAACTAGGCAAGAGCGGCCCCGCGCGCTGCAAGGAGGGCGCAGCCGGCGCTAGGGCGGCTCGCGCTCTTCCCACGGGCCCCGCGGTGGCAGGTCCGCAGGCAGCCCCAGCGCTCGCTCTCCTCACCATCCCCACTGACAGCTCTGTCACTCACTTCCCCGGAGCGCCTCCCTCCCCTTTCTCTCCCCGCCTCCCTTTTTCCCTCGCTGGTGCCACCACAGTTCACCCTGCTCTCCACCCGCCCCTCAGGCCAGGTGGTAACCCAGCCCAAGCTCAATGACAGGTCTCCAGCGCTGGGAGGGAGAAGAGTTCCCTCCCTCCCCCGCCATCCCCCGGGAAAGCACCCTGGGAAGTGTAGGCGGTGCGCCCCAACCCTACGGCATCTCTGGGTGGCCGAGGGCGGAGCAGACTACAAGCCCCACGATGCTCTGCGCAGACACAGACACACAGCTGACAGCAGGCGCCTGCAGGACTCTTTATCGTTCTCATTATACAGGCAAGGAAACTGAGGCTCAGAGAAGGGACGTGACTTGTTTGTCCTAAGCTCACACAGCTAGTAAGTGACAGAGCCAGGACTCACTCCAATCCAAGCTTAATGCTGTTTAAACGACACATTGTGCCACTCATTTGGCACTTAAAACGACCAAAGTAGAACTGACCTTAGGGACAGTATATGCCAAACGGATTTTACAGTGAGGAACAGATCAGAAAGTGAAAAATGACTTGCCTAAGATCAAACAGCTAGGACTTCAATCTAGATTTCCGATTCTTTTTTTTTTCTTCAGGCAATTGGGGTTAAGTGACTTGCCCAGGGTCACACAGCTAGTAAGCGTCAAGTGTTTGGTCTGAGGCCGGATTTGACCTCAGGTCCTCCTGACTTCAGGGCCGGTACTCTATCCACTGCGCCACCTAGCTGCCCCAAGATTTCCGATTCTTAATTCCAGTAATTTTTCCACCATACCTTGCTGGGGATCAGGAGTCATTCATTCATTTAGCAAGCATGCACTAAGTTATGTACCAGGCACTGTGCTACATGCTTGGAATACAAGCACAAAAAATGAAAGTTCCTGTCCTCCAGGAGTTTACAGTATAATGGAAGACAAAGCATGTGTACAGAACCTTAAATGTATATCTAGGAAATGACAAACCACTCCGGTATCTTTGTCAAGAAAATCCCATGAACAGTATTGGTGTATTATGGTCCACCAAATCACCAAGTCAGATGTGACAGAATAACAACAAGGTATAGGTATATACTTATACATGTGCATATAAATAGATATCTGTATACATACATATGTACAAACATACATATATATACATACACACACACACATCCATGTATTTGTACATGCATGTATATAACACCCTGGGCTCATTCTCCTGACCCACTCTGACACTAGTAGGTTGGGTTTCCAGAGACTTGCCTGTTACTACTTTCAGGGGACTAGGAGTAACTCTGGATGGCTATCCTCCTAACACTTAGAGTCAATGACTTTGCTGATTGTTAAAAAGGAGTAGTACTCCAATGGCAAAGCAAGCACAGTGATCACAAAGCATTTCTCCTCTAAATAGAGGTATGCTCTCCCACAAATACACACACAGTCTATGAGGGGAAGAGTGAGCATGACTGGTAAGTACAGGGTAGGGACACACAATAGCCACCACAACTCGCAACTCTAAAGGCAGGGCCTTATGGTCTTTCTTCTTCCGGAGGGTCCATACAAATTTCACTGTGGGGTGCTGCATGAGGGATAGATAGATGAGTCATTTAATTGTTCAGCTAAACCATACCCTCTGAAATGGTTGCCCCATAATTAACAAATTTCATTTCATCTTAAACCTCTTCCTTTTTCATTCCCATCGTCATCTGCAACTTGCTGAGTAAAACTGAATCACTTACTTAGACCTGGCTCCCTCCTGAAGACACAGCTTCCCTCAATAACTTTTCCAGTACTGGCTACAATTTCTCTCATACCCCCCACTCATCCATCTAAGTGGAGGGGTTTGAATACCTCTTCCTTCCACTCCTCTCCTGTTTCCATTTCCACTCTCCCCCGTCCCCATCACTAGGGCCATTTCCAGTCATCCTCATCTATATCTTGCCACTGAACCAAGATGGCTCCAGAGGAGAAAGTGAGGCTGGTGATTTTGCACAGTCTTCCCTCACTTAAATCCAATTCACTTGCATGTCATGGCATCACCTCCATGATGTCATGGTCCTCTTCAAGAATGAAGGCCAAACAATAATAATAATAATAGCCTCCTCATCACTAAATAACCCATCTTCCTTTGAGGTCCCCACTATCCAAATTTGTCATTCAGTTTAGATCCTGGTGACTGTTATCCACTTATATATAAGATAATTTCCCCTAACCTTCCTTTCCCTTTCCCTTTCCCCTTCTCCCTCCGCCCTAGCATATTCCTCTTCCTCTCTCTTTTCGTTCTTTTCCTAAGATCATGAAGACAGAAAAGAATCACTGGAAAGCCTTGTCTAATTGAACTTACTTGTGAACCTTGATAATAGGAATCGGAGAGAACACATGTATCATCTTCCCATATATAAATGTAAGCAGTTTATCCTTAGTCCTTTATCACTGTTTATTCATATTTTCCTTTTTGTATTTCTCTTTACTGTTGTGTTTGTACTTTGAAGTATTTCTGCAGCTCTAGTCTTTTCATCAGGAATACTTAAGAGTCTTCTATTTCATTAAAGGCCCATTTCCCCCTATCTGCATCCTCCCCCCAATAACATTATACTTAGTTTTGCTGGGTAAGTTATTCTTGACTGTAAGCCCATATCCTTTACCTTCTGGAGTATAGTATTCCCAATTCTCTGTTCCTTTTTAGTGTTGGCTGCTAAGCATTATGTAATCCTGACTGTGACTGGTACATGAATCTGGTTGCTTGCAGTATTTTTTTCTTTGACCTGGAAACTGGATTTTGCTATGATGTTCCTGGGAATTTTCTTTTTTTTTTCTTTTTTCTTTTCCAGGTGGAGGATAGGTGGATTCTTTCTGCTTCTACTTTGTTCTCCAGTTCTAAGAGATCTGGGAAGTTTTCTTTGAAGATTTCTTGAAACAGAATGTCTAGGCTCTTTTTTTGGTCATGGAATTCAGATAGTCCAATGATTCTTAATTTTTTTTCTCCTCAATCTGGTTTCCAGATCAGTTGTTCTTTCTATCAGATACTTTACATTTTCTTCTTCTTTTTAGCCTTTGGACTTTGTTTTAATATTTCTTGTTGTCTCATGGAGTCATTGTTTCCTATTTTGTTCATTTGAATTTTCTGGGAGTTTATTGCTTGGGCAATGTACCCCTTGTGCCAAGATGTTAATTACCTTTTGAATTCTTTCCTCCTTAGCTTTCATTTCTTTTCCAATTTTTCCCTCAAGTATTCATTTATTTAAAAATTTAAGTCTTTTTTAAAAACTCTTCCTTCATCTCTTCCAGGAATTCCAGATGAAATGGTACCCAAGTTGTGTTTTTCTCCCAGATAATTCTTGTAGATATTTTGAAGTCATTTTCAACTGTATTTATGTTGTAAGCATTCCTGCCTCCATATTAGCTCATTAGGAAAGGAGAAGGGAATAAGCATTTAAATAGCACTTACTATGTGCTAAGCACTTTATAAATATATCTCATTTGACTCTCACATCAACCCTGCAAAGTAAGTGCTGTTATTATCCACATTTTCATTTGAGGAAACCAAAGCAAACAGAGGTTAAGTGACTTGTCCAGGATCACACAGCTAGTAAGTGTTTGAGGCCATTTTCGAACTCGGATCTTCTTGACTCCAGTCCCAGCACTCTATCTACTGTGCTACCTAGCATACCTCATTATGGTGGGATTCTTTTTTGTTAGCCCATTCTTCCAGCCTGCTCCCTGAATTTGGTCTTGATGTCAGGGCTCGACATTAGTACTTCTGGAGGAAATGTCTGAGTTGGTACTATTGGTTCTTTCTCAGAGTGCTGAGTGTTGTATTATTTTAGTATTTCAGGAACAGGCTGGGGACCTGCAAGCTTTCAGTACTCCCAAAGTGGTCCGATCCAGGGCAAAGTCTCATTGTCATCCCCCTGGTCTGAGCTCTGCAAGTTCCTGACCTGGATTTGAGTTTGAGCAAGAGAGACTGCTGGTGGACTCTGCCCCTATCAGTCAACGGCAAGTTCTGTTGGCTACCAAAGCGGCAGAATTGTAGACTTCCCTTTGTTCTGAGCTACAGGCATCTCCAACAATCTTTTGGACGTCTCAAACTGGATGTTTTGCATTCATCTTAAATTCAACATGCCCAGAATAAAACTCGTTATCTTTCCCTTCAAAATCTCCCTTCTAAACTTCCCTATTACTGTCAAGGGAACCATCATCTTCCCAGTTGCCCACAACTTCAGTATCATCCTTAACTCCTCATTCTTACTCACCCCACTAATTCAATCCATTGCCAAATCTTGTCATTTCTACTTTAACAGTATTTCTTTAATATGTCCCCCTTTATTATTCACTCAGCCACCACCCTAGTTCAGGCTTTCATTACTTCTTATCTGGACTATTGCATTAGCCCTTTAATTGGTTTCCCAGATTCAAGTCTCTCCATGCTTCAATCCATCTTCTATTCAGCTGCCAAATGTTTTTTTTATTTTAAATATATTTTTAATTTTTCCCAATGACATGTAAAAACAATTTTTAACATTCATTTTTTAAAAAAAAATTGAGCTCAAAATTCTCTCTCCCTCCCTCTCCTCCATTCCCCCTCACTGAGGAGGCAAAGAATTTGATATAGGTTATGTATGTGCAGTCA